ACCTTACACTGAGGGTCTGTTAACACTGAGAGTCTGTTAACACTGATGGGCTATTTACACTGAGGGTCTTTTAACACAGAGGGTCTGTTAAAACTGATGGGCTATTTACACTGAGGGTCTTTTAACACTGAGGGTCTGTTAACACAGAGGGTCTGTTAAAACTGATGGGCTATTTACACTGAGGGTCTTTTAACACTGAGGGTCTGTTAACACAGAGGGTCTGTTAAAACTGATGGGCTATTTACACTGAGGGTCTGTTAACACTGAGGGTCTGTTAACACTAATGGGCTATTTACACTGAGGGGCTGTTAACACTGAGGGTCTGTTAACACTGATGGGCTATTTACACTGAGGGGCTGTTAACACTGAGGGTCTGTTAACACTGATGGGCTATTTACACTGAGGGGCTGTTAACACTGAGAGGCTGTTAACACTGAGAGGCTGTTAAAACTGAGCGGCTGTTTACACTGAGGGTCTGTTTACACTGAGGGCAGGACAAATGCAGCTGCCTCTAAAGGAACTGACAACTCAAAGATACAAAAAGTTAAATTATTGAAAATAATCAAATAAACTATTACAAAATATTAACTATATATTATAAATGTTAAATAATCAAAACTATTGTTCAGTCTTATAAAAAGGTAATGACATGTGATTTACTTTCAAAACTTCGTAGATTAATGCACCAAATAAGGGCAGAGTCGCTTGCATCAGTGCTGCCTGGAGTCAAGAGACCCATCCAATATGGCGGCGCTGCACGATGAGATTCAGCCCGCCATGAGGTCTCTAGTTTTTTATATGATAACTATGATTCAGCCCGTCATGACTTCTAGGCATTGATATGATATATATGGGGCCACGCACCCTGCTGTTTGACCAATCACAATTTGGATCCGCTCAGAAGTGAAAAGATCCCGAATATTAAAGAAGAGTCCTCACTCCGCCACTTTTCCTGGCATTTATACTCCAATCATCGCCTCTTCTGCAAAGACAAAAACTTTTGTATTATGTTGTATTAAAACAGATTCGTGTTTCTTAATATTGAGGGAAACTATTTATTGTCATGTTATTGATGAATTTAACTTTGGCAGAAAAGCGGACAGGAATCTTAGTCATGGGTTTTCTTTTTCCACCGAGTGATACATCCTTACTGTTTAACTAGACGATCTTCACACTTGCCCTTTCTAGACTTATTAAAACAAAGATGGCGGCTGCTGCTAGATTTTTCATCCGAGGTTCAAACTCCAAACTTCCCGTCCCCGGTGTCGGTACCGGGAGCCGAAACTCTTTGGGAGCCGCTTTTCTGAAACCGGTTCCGAACTGCAGCTCCCGTTCAAAAACACAACGAAGACATGCGGCCCACTTCAGCTTCCAGCCCGACCCGGTACCGACTCAGTACGGTGAGTGGTGTTGTGTGTCTGTCGGCAGCTTGTTTGTTTATCAGAACAGAAAAGTGTTGATGAGTCATCAGTAACACAGCTGTGGACGTTAAACAGCTGCAGTAACACAATGTCACTCATGTAGCACCTAATGCATCACAACAACACAACACAACAACACAACAACAACACTGTGGTATAAAGTACCACAAAGTAATACTTCAATAAAAGTACAAGTATCTTATTAACAAAAACTGACTTTGGTAAAAGTTAAAGTGTCCTTTAGGAATATTACTTGAGTAAAAGTCTTAAAGTATGTGATATTTGTTGTAGTTAAGTAT